CCCCTGAAATGTTCTGACACAGAAAAACCTGACATTTCCTGGTGGCTGGAAACGCATCAACTCATCTGGGATTTTCCTGGGAGGGAAAACTGTGGGAAGCACTGGGGCTTAGCAAACAACAGGATGTGCTGGGAGGGAAAAGCAGATGGTGTGGCATTGAATCACCTGATCTTCCTCAGATCCTAGAGGTTTCAAAGCTGGTCCTGCTTCTTCCCTCTTAAATGCCAGTGAATGGCAACAGGAGGGAAAAAACCAACCCCTGCTTTCCTGAAACTCTGAGTGTTTCCCAAGTGGTTCTTCACCCGCCTGCACCTTAACTAGTTTCTCACAGCAGAGCACACTGGCTGTAAAATGCTACTGTGGGGACTGGGGGATCGTTTTACACCTGCTTTGTATTCCCCTGAACAGCTGTAACCGAGAAGGCAAAGCGTGAAGCAGCGGGAATTCCGGCGCCTTCCGCATCCATTGCCACCCTGAGTCAGTTAATTCCCAGAGTTGCTGGGGGTTTGGGGGAGAAGCCAGAGGATTCAGTGAATGAATAAAGGAGGCAAACTGAAGCAGAGAGCAGCTGAAGAGCTGGGGGATAGGAGAGAGGAGAAAGGGAGAAGGAAGGAGGAGGAGGAGGCTCGTCCAGCGGGAGCGAAGCTGAGGAGCCTGGGGTCTGCAGCAAAGGGGCAGAGCTGGTGCTGACCCAGGGACAGCAGGGCCAAGGGCAGTGACCTCCCCTCCTCTGCACCCCCCGTGCTACTCTGCCTGCATTTGGCTCCAGATTTGAGCTACAATTTCCATCAGGATGAAAGGCCTGTCCTGCTTTCTGTGTTCACGTTCGGAAGGAGCTGAGGACCTGCCTCTGGGTGGAAGGCACTGCTGAAAGCAGCACTGGGGATACGTTCATCTCGGGAACATCCTGACTCAAATGGCTTATTAAAAAGCCTTCCCCAGATCTATCAGGCTCGTCAAGAGTGCTGCCTGTGCTGAGGGCTGCATTCCAAGTGGTAATCCTGTCAATAAGCTGCTCTTCACACCTGCAGGCAGCCCTGTCCCTAGCACAGAAGATTGTTCACACTGGAAAATTGTCTCATTTTACCCCCGGGGTGAGCTCTTCCCTGGCACATCTGGAGCTGGTTTCAGACCAGCTTCTTCTGTTGGGGAGGCAGTTTGACATTCTGAGGATTAAGAGGTCAAAAAACATAAAACTAGGACAGTGTCTTTTCTCCAGAAAGTACAAAAAAAAAAAAAAAAAAAAAGACCCGTGGTTTTGTTCCTGCAGCCTCTGAGCCTGGAGGTTGTCACAAGTGCCATCAGTCCAGGCACAGATTCTACCTTCCTGCCTCATGCCTAAGTAGGTGACATCTAGGGACTCTTGGCTGCTAAATGACCCTTCAGCATCTCTGTGGCTCTGCCCTGGACTCTCCCAAGCAGTTCCCTGTCCTTCTGGAACTGAGGGGCCCAGAACTGGACACAACATTCCAGATGTGGCCTCACCAAGGCAGAACAGAGGGGGAGGAGAACCTCCCTTGCCCTACTAACCACCCCCTTTCTAATGCCCCCCAGGATCCATTGGCCTTCTTGGCCACAGGGGCACATTGCTGGTCATGGTCTGGTAGGCACCTACCATGGCTGGAGACAGTGCCCACAGCTTGGTGGGCTACCAGAGGGAGTTGTACCTTCCCATCCTGCCATCTCCTGCTGTGACCATTTGAGGGCTGCCCAGGTGCCTCCAGGAGGGGAATCCACTGCCATGTGGGAGCTGAACACCTCTCCATACCTGCCCTGGGGAGCACCAGGCACCACCCAGCAAGCTCCGTGCCACAGCCATGTCCCCAGCAGCACCTGCACACCCTGCTTGGCTTGGACTCCACTGCCCCAGGCACAGACCACCTCAGTTTGTCACTGTCACCCACCACCACCACGTTCACTGACACCAACCAAGCGGGATGGAAAACGAAGAGATGGTTTATTTAGCAAGACTTAAAGGCACCCTTTGCTTGTAAGTTTGGAAACAAAAGTTCCAAGTAAAACAAATACAAAAGTCATTCTCAGACTCCGTGTAACAACTATTGCCTGTTCTGGTTGCTCCACCTCATCCTCTGGAGTCCTGACACAAACCACAGGCAGCAGCCCCAACGCTCTCCAGATCCCTCTGCAAAACCCTGCAGCTGGGGTCTCCTCAAGCCAATATGCAGCATCAGTGAGCAGTGCTGTTGCCTGCATCCTGCTACTACATCCCACTGACTCTATTTCCCACCCCTTCCCCTCTTTTTATTTCTTCCTCCCCAAAAAGCAAGCATTGGAGGTGACCCCTCTTCAACGCCCACCCTGGGACTTACCAGCTTTATTCCACTTGAACCTGCTATAACCCATTCTTGCCTTCCAATATTTACTTCCCCCCTCCCCCAATCCAAAAGATTTTAGCATTCTCTTCTACAATTTCCTGACGACTGCAATGATCTGAAGACCAGCTGAGTACCAGGGAGTGGTGACAATGGAGGATTGTCCCTCTTCTGCAAATGAAACAGCAGAGAAAAACCAGCAACTGTGTCGCTGTTCTACGAGCTCATCATCTTCTGTAAGGGATCAGCTTTCTGTCTCATGTGATACATGAGGATGTGTTAATAACAGACCCAACTGAGCCAGGAACAAGTTCTTTTGGGCAAACTACAAAAGCAAGTTTTCCCTTCCCAGCCTTGGCAAGGGCTTGGTGTGACACTCAGTCCAAGTGGCTGCCCCAAGGCAGGAGTGATCCATCCCCCTACAGCTGCCAGTGGCTGTGGAAGGTTGTGCTGGAAGTGAAGTCCCTCTCCTTTGGAGCTGGGTTTGTGAATCTCTTCTTTTAGTGGGACCTTAAAGATCATCCAGTCCCACCCCCTGCATGGGCAGGGACACCTCCCACCAGCCCAGGCTGCTCCAAGCCCCATCCAACCTGCCCTTCAACACTGCCAGGGATGGGGCAGCCACAGCTTCCCTGGGCAACCTGGGCCAGGCTCTCACCACCCTCATTGTACAAAATTTATTCTTAATACCTTAATATTCTTAATATCTCCCCTTTTTCATCTGAAAACCTTCAAACCTTGTCCTATTGCTGCAGGCCCTGATAAAAAGTCTGTCCTCATTTTTCTCACAGGTCTCCTTTCAATATTGAAAGGCTGCTCTAAGGTCTCCCTGGAGCCTTCTCTTCTCCAGGCTGAACACCCCAACTCCCTCAGCCTGTCTCCAGAGCAGAGCTGCTCCAGCATTTGGATCATTTTTGTGGTCCCCAGCAAGGACCAAGCAGATCCCTTATCAGGTGCTGCCACTTTGTAGTGAGACCATTTGTACTAGCACCTCAATCCCAATACCTGAGCTCTGGTCTTTGCATCCTTGTGTGCCTCCAATAATGCAGTGCTAAGTCTTAAAAATGCCCATCAGAGTCATCACCTACACCAGACACCAGAGGACAACACTGCCATTAGCAGTTCCCCTCTCAAACCTTAACGTTTGCCTTTTTTCAGGCTTGACAGTGCCTAAAAAAGACTCTTAATTCAGACTTTCAGCTGGTTTCCTCTGCTGCAAGCAAGGAATTTCTTCTGCATCTTTGTGCAGGATTCATGCATGACCAAGGGGAGCCACTGGGAAGAGACAAGGTCTCTTCAGAAAGGGATTCAATCTCATCAGAAGGCTCATGTTATTCTCTGATGGCCATAAACCATTATTTCTTGTGTTTCTATCCTGGGACAGAACCTCAATAACCTCCCAAGAGCCATTTTCAAGCCCTAGATATGCAAAAGCACCTTCTTCTTCCAGACAACTCACCTCAAGCATCATTCTCCAGCCCAACTTTTGATTTCACTGTTATAACTCTCTGGCATATAAAATTACAGGGTTCACTGGCCTCTGAGTGAAAATTGGAGAGCAAAGAAATCTTTCTTGGTTCTCAGGGAAATTATTTTGTTCCCAGCAGCAGGGGAGGCTTCCAGAGAACACAGTCACCTGCTCCTTTCTTCACAGAGTGATGCACATTCCAGCAAAATCCTTCTAACAGTCACCAGAACAAGGCAACAGCGACCAGTCCCTGCCCTGGCTGCTGGGCTCTTTGCACAAAGAGCAGGGCACATGGAGCCCCACAGGCTGTGGAGCACTCTGAGCTTCTTTCAGAAGCTTGCCCAGCAGCAGGGACCATTAGCAAAACCCCCTCTGAGGGTGACACGGGTCAGGAAATGTCACCCAGGAACTTCCACGTGAAGCTGAACAGCTTGTGACTGAATGAGGGCACATCTGTGAGACACACACATCCAGCTGCAGCTGAGAGATGGCAAGTGATGGCCACTCCACCCCATGCCCCTTAACAAAGGTGCTCTCAGCAGCCACCCAGACATTGTTTTGACAATCATCAATAACACCAAGCATCAAATAAATCAGAACAATCACTTCACCCAACAGGCTGCCAACCCCCTGCCACTGGGGAGATCAAGGCAAAGAGCAGGCAAATGGTTTGACCAAATTCATCCAGCCAGCAGAAGCTGGGAAAAAACCAAACTGGCATGTCCCAATTCCCAGGCCAATGCCCCTGGAGGACCAGTGTCTTTAAGCTCCTGGGATACCCTCTAGGTCACCTTCCAACTGTCCTCTTGGCACATGCCAATAGTTCACCTGCAGGAATAAGGTGGCCCCAATGATGTGGATTTCTTTCTTCTCAGCTGCTGTGTGCAGAGAGCCCAACCATGCTTGACAGCACGTGTGTTTTGGTGGAAACACACCATGTTCTTCACTTCCCACAAGCATTTTGGTCTTTGTACTTGACTGACTCTGATTTTTTCCAATGCCCAGAGAGCACAGCCAGGATGCTCAGCGCAACTCAAGTACCATCCCTGATCCTTGCACTGCTCTGATTGCCTTTGGAAGTCATTTCTTAGCCTAATCCTTACAAAACCCACTACTGTGAAGGGTGATGTTCTGCTGCCTTCTCACACACCACTGGCACCACCACGGCTGAAGCAGGAGAGCAGGGAAGCAGCACTTACCTGGGTTACTCTTGGCGGTGCGCACTGGGGTGTAATGGTTTTTGGAAGCTGTCCTGACTGGGGTGTTTTCTTTGGGGGAGGTATCTATGGCCGAGATAGTCTCTCTTTCACAGTGTGCTATTGGGATTGGTCCCTGCTGCCTTAAGATGTCAGCCAGAGCCCTGCAGAGAGAGAGAAAGAAGGAAAAAAAAACACCCCGTATTTTCACCCAGTAGCTGGAAGAACATTCAGCATTTTCACTTCCACACTGTGAATCCAGGACTTGGATTTCTACCATAAACAGAAGAGAAAAAAAAAAGCACCACCACCAAAAAAACAGTTTAAAAGCTCCATTTCTTTTTGTGCATCTGCTGTGTGTACTTCCAGGCTTGCCTGGCTATTGTTTAGGTTTTCAGCTGCTTCCACTAATTCACTTCACCCCAGGGTTTTGTTCTCCCCCCCCATCTCCCATCTCCCCCTTCCCTGCTGTCAGGGACAGTGCAGATGAGCTGTTCTCTGTGACAGAAGGTCCTGCCTTCAGAAGGACTCAGCACCTACCACACCACAGCCCTGAGTCTCAGGCACCACTTAAAACTTTCACACCAAAACTGCCCTGCCCAAGTCAAACCTCCTTAACATCTCATCAGATTAGGAGTCTGCTCCCCACACTCCTGCCATCCTCAGCACAAGAAAGATATGGACCTGTTGAGAGGGGCCAGAGAAGGGCCACCAAGATCATCCAAGGGCTAGAGCAGCTCTGGAGGCTGGGAGAGTTGGGGTGTTCAGCCTGGAGAAGAGAAGGCTCCAGGGAGACCTTAGAGCAGCTTCCAGGGCCTGAAGGGGCTCCAGGAAAGCTGGGGAGGGGCTTTTCATCAGAGGAGATAGTGATAGGACAAGGGGTGATGGTTTTAAGCTGAGAGAGGGGAGATTTAGGTTAGATATTAGGAAGAAATTCTTCACTCTAAGGATGGTGAGGAGCTGGGATGGGCTGCCCAGGGAGGTTGTTGATGCCCCATCCCTGGAGGTTTTTAAGGCCAGGTTGGGTGAGGTTTTGTGCAACCTGGTCTGGTGGTTCCCTGCTCATGGCAGGGGGGTTGGAATTGATGATCTTTAAGGTCCCTTCCACCCTTAATGATTCTATGACCCTGCTTTTTTCTGCAAGAAGCCAAACACACAGCAGTGGTGGGAGTGGGTTTCTAAAAGGTTTCTCCTTTAAGCAGTCCAGAAGAAAAAATTCTCATGGGTTAATGTCAACAAAGCCATCATCCTACCTTTAGCCTTTTGTCCATGAGAGATCCCCTTAATGATCCTGAGGTGTCTCTGCTATTCCCCAAAAAAACAAAGGTCACACAGCTCAGTTGCATCCAATGTTTTCCTCTTGGGTGAGGGGACACTCAGAGGTCTTTTTTTATGTGGAGATAGTGGAACAATGAGAGTGTGAAGTGCCCTGATGTTCTTAGTGCAGCCACAAGCAAACTCCTGAGCCACAGGAAAAGGAGGGAAGGGGGTGGCTCGTGTGGATTAGAAGGGACAGTGGCATTTGAGAGATGATGGAGTTTGGAAGGTTCTTTCCTCTTGGCAGAGACAAAATGCCTCGTGTCACCTCGAGCACCGAGACAGATGCAAGGAGGAGAAAAGCTCCTTCACTGCATATTGATGAGAATGATGCTGGTCTTGCTCCCATCGACTAGAATCCCTTACATGCCATATTTCTGGTCTTTCATATGAGAAATAGCTGGGGACCTGAGTCCCTTCCATTTTCCAAACCATTTCCTCCACAGGCTGCTCTCCCTGTGCACACTGAATTGAACCATTGACGTGCTCTATGAGAGGAACTCTTGGAAGATCTCAGAGGCCCCAGAAGAAGATGACATTAGTTCACAACCACCCTGTAAAGAATATTTTTAACCTTATCTGATTACTTATTGTTTGTGGAGAGAGCACAGAGGTGATAACCAATCAGATGATATTTATACCTGCACACATACTGATAAACATGGAGTGAAGAGGCTGTCACATGCAGGGACATGAGAGCACAGATATTTTCCTGTGCTAAGATAGGCTGAGAGGAAATAAGGTGGCAGCAGTAAGAGATCAGTATTTAGCCCTGTCCCAAGTCCTTTTGTTTGCTCCTGTGGTTGATCCTCACTGAAGAAGAAGAACTGATATTTGGTGGCCTCCAAAAGATGCTGAACTCCCCTGGATGGACACAGATCTGTGGGTGCTCAGCATCTTTGGCAATCCTGCCTGAGGTACCTCAGACTGGTCACCAACTTACAGGACACGTGGGAAATGTTGGCTCTTTGCCCAAGGTTGAGCAAAACACAAGTGTCAGGGCAAGGACCTGAAGCTGGGCCCTAAGGTCCCTGCCCTAGATTCTACTGCACAGTTCCCTCCTGAGGAATCCCCTCAACACCCACTCATCCTGGTGGCTTTTCTGGGCAAATACCTCCCCACTGCATTGCCCACCTTGCTGACTGGGGAGGATGGGGGAAGCTAATGAGCTCTGCCTGTTTGGTACCAGCACCCAGTACATCCTGATGGAGACAACACATTTTCTAAAGACATCAGGTTGGCAGGACTGAGCCCTCAGTGTGTATCTCCAAGACATGTGAAGCATCAGATGAGCATTTAAAGGTATCTGCAGCACCAAAATGGTAAGAGTCATTTTTCAATCACAGAGACTGTACTAGGACCATTATTTACTAGCCCATTGTGGCTTGTGCTTGTTCTGAACACTTGTAGAAGGCACTCTCAGTGTCAGGAGTGCAATCACTCAGAGCACAGGGGAAGATGACAGTGTGGATGACACCAAAACACTCTGTACCACTGAGCTTAATAGAACAGAGCCAGCTGGGCAGGGAAGGTCAGGCAGGGGCTGGTGTGCCCTGTGTGAGATCAGGGAAAGCAGCCCAAGACTCTCCAAGATGAGGAAGTGGAGCTGGAGGTACTGGTGGGATGGAAATAGAAGAGAACAAACCAGCTCTCTCTGAAGCTGAGTTTGTTTAACGTGGCAAAGAGAGGGTCTAGATCCCATGATGGGGAGCTGCAAAGGACAAAGAGCAAGGCTGTTCTTGAAGGTGCAAGGAGAAGAGGACAAGAGGCAACCAACACATGTTGCAATAAGGGCAATTCCACTGGGTTGTGAGAGAAAAAAAAAGTCACAGTGGGATAGCAAAACACTGAGAGAGGGACCCAGAGAGGCTGAGGGATCCCCATCCTTGGAGATCTTCAAACTTCAGCTGGATAAGGCCCTGAACAACCTCCTCTACCATCTGATTTAAGCAGATGGCAGGACAAGGGACCTCCAGAGGGCCCTTCCAAGCTGAATTCTGCTATGATCCTGAGCCTCAGACTACATTAGGCTGCAGGTCACCTTGTTTCTCCTGATACTGCTGCCTCTCTCCTGCTCTCATTACTCTCAGAGAGTCCTGAGAACAAAACTTCCCTGTCTCTTGGATGGGCAGTTTTCCTCCCATCACTAAAAAGGACTGAGGCAACTAAAGTGAACACACTGTGGAACACCTGGAGCTGCTGAGAACTGCCTCATCCTCTCAGTCACTATCTCCCTGAGAGCCCAGCCCTGAGCCTGCTGCTCTCCATGAGGACAAAACCAAGTGTCCAGGTTCATCTTTCCATTTATCAGCAGCTCCTCATGAAGCTCCACTCAGCTGTTCCTTGCTTGCAACCAGGTCCTGAGATCACTGATCTCTACCTCAAACAAAACCACAACTCAGCTGATAAAAACATGAATCCCTTCTTCATTTTCCATTGTGAAGGAAGAGCAAGAAGAACTGCTCTCTGGGTTGGTTAGTTGTTGGTCATCACGTACCAAGGACATTATTTCTGGTCAGGTGCCAGTCACGTGGAAGGGAGGAGACTGAGACTCCTCAGGAGTTCCAGGTGCTCCTCAGGAAAGGGATGTCTGCCCTGTCAGACCATGAGTGAGATGATCTGAACACAACTGTCAAAAGCAGACCTGGCTCTTAAGTCTGTGGGGCTGAAACAGGGGAGTGGGTTCAGCCCTGCTGAGGGTGGAATCTTCTTGTGCCCTCAAGGCACCAAACCATGTCCCAGGTGCTCACTCTGTGCTCTGCTTTAGGGGCTACAGAGAGAAAAAAGACTGTTCAGCCCCACCAGAACAAAATGTTACAGGTGGAGGAGAAAGTCAAACTTGGATCAAACTGGTTAGTTCCTTGTAAATTATGATTTAGGTTGGATATGAGGAAGAAATTCTTCACCATGAGGGTGGTGAGAGCCTGGCCCAGGGTGCCCAGGGAAGCTGTGGCTGCCCCATCCCTGGCAGTGTTGAAGGGCAGGTTGGATGGGGCTTGGAGCAGCCTGGGCTGGTGGGAGGTGTCCCTGCCCATGCAGGGGGTGGAACTGGATGATCTTTAAGGTCCTTTCCAACCCAAACCAGCCTGTGATTCCATGCCCTCTCTCTGTGTGACCCAGTCTGTCCCCATGCAGCACCCAGAGCTGATCCCCACGCTGGGGGAAGGTCAGTCACACCAGGCTGAGGAAGGATGTGATGGGTCCAAGCCTTTTGGGTCCAGCTGTGGAACCATCCCCTGCAGAAGCTTCCAGAGGGTAACCCCTGGGATACCTGGGTGCTGAGCGTGCAGCCACTTGGGTACAAGAACTCCCTGTGAGACACTTCAGAAATCATTCCATGATGCCAGGTCTCTTATCTCTGGAAAACAAACCCCAGTGGCTGGAAGGTGGCAGTGGTGGCAGCAGCTGGTGTTGTGGAGCTGTGCCCTCCTGTCCCCTGAACATGACTGATGAGAGCTCCTTCATGCACGTCATCCTGCTGAGAACACTACAGCTCCTTCCCACCTAAGCCCAGAATAGACACACTGACATCAGGGATGTTGTTTCCAGCCCTGTGCTGGATGAGCAGTGTGGGAGAAAAGCCTCCTGATGTCTGGCAGGGCAGGTCCTGCTCCAGGTAGGGCAGCATGGAAAGGTTTCCTGCAGCTCTGGACTAACAACTTTGGGAAGAAACACAGTGGGATGGACACGGGGGCTGCACAGAAGCAGTTGTGGGCATTTCCAAAATGAAAACAAGCACAAAAAAACCCAACCCTGAAGTCTCATTGGAGACACCAAGGGCCAAAAGGGATGGGGGGAGCAGTAGGGTGGCGAGGTTGGGGCCCTGGTGTTCAAAGATGGATTCAACAGACAGAGAAAAGAGGGAAGGTGAGGCAGGCTGGGGAGGGGCAGGAAACCAAAGCAGAACAGGGCAGAGTGAGCAGAGCAGTATAAAATGGAGGAAACAGGCAGGAACCAACTGCA